TTGTAAAAATATTTCTGCATGGAGGGAAGTTGAATTAATTTAAGAAATCAGAGGAAAATAAGGCAAGAGAAAGGGAAAATTGATTAATTTTGATGGAAAGAAAAGAATTTCCAGAAGGTTTTGTTAGCAACATGAATTTTAACCAGCAGCAAGTTTTGCTAAAAATACTTCCTTCTTTATAAAACAGGGTGATTGAGAGCCTATTGGAAAAGCATCAGTCTAAACCCTACTTGCAATTTGTTATTTATTATCAGCTTTTTTATTTTCTGAGCTTTGTTGACTGTTGAGTAATGGTAGGGCTACAGTTTTTATCACAGAAGTCTGTGTGATATTTTGCAAATTTTCCTTTCCTCAACAGTTTGGATGATTTTTTTGTTAAATTCTCTCATAGTGGTTTTCAATCTTGCTTGCACATAATCACTATGAAATCTTAAAAGGAGAGCTAACTGAGCCCTACCCTAGATCTCTGGAATCTTAGTAAGATGGGTCTAAATCATTTGTTTTTAAAAAGAATTTTCTTCAGGTGATTCTGAAGTATGTCCAGGGTTGAAAACTACTGTGTATAGTTTCGTATTTCTGTTCTTTCTATACATTGAAATGGAATGGAACCTATGGAAATTCTAAGAGTACTTATCCCTTAAATTAGGAGGTTATACGCGCACACACACACACACACACACACACACACACACACACACACACACATATATAAATGAGAAGTTTTATTGAATCTGTATACAGACACTTGTATATTTGTAGGTTTGTCTTATATAATTGAGGAAATTTATGGACCTGTGTTTTGGACAGCATAGAATCCACAGCATAACCCTGTGAGAGGAACTTCTTCCTGGCACATAGGATTGCAGTTTATAGATTCCTTTGTTATATATTCCCCTTTCTATTTTAAAAGTCACTATATTCGTCCTCCTTTTCTGCAAATAATAAAGCAACATCCCGAGGTTTTAAATATATTAGGGCTTTTAAAAACATTAGCAGGTGTTTGAAGTTGACAGTATTTTTTCCTTGTTTGTTCTGTGTTAGGTGCTATCCCCTCATGAGAACCAGAATCTTTTCAGTTTGGGACATCAGACTTGGATGAGGAAGGGTAAATCATACTACTCAAGGGCCAGCTACTCTGGTTTTCTTATGAGACTATGTTACAAGGAAAAGGTGACCTCAGAGAATATAGTATTGAATTTGAGTTGTCTGGAACTGGTTAGAAAGTCTCTAATTCCAGTATTCTCTAAGTTTGTCAGCTTTTCAGTATTTTTACAGGAAGAACTGTAGCTTCTTATCCTGAGATGAGCCTGTCTCCAAATCTGGTTTCAATTTTTTTTCTGTTCAATTGCTAAGCACATTTTGCTGTATGATATCACTGTTGGCTGTAGGCTAAAAGTTACTGTATAACTTAAATGTCAGGCTTCAAACCACCAAATATACATAGTTTTGTTCAGCCAGACTTTTAAATGAAATCTAATTCAAGTTCTTGGCTAAAAGTACTTTCCACATTTATCAAAGTGACACATAAACTAAAGAAATACAATACATCTAAATACCAGGTGTTATCAAATCCAGGATTGCAGAGAGGTAGTGGAGCTAAGTACAGTTCTTTCTTCAAATAGTCCAATCTATTCGTGTTCTTCTAAAAAGTGTCCATGCAGAGTAATTGGTACTTTTTTCTTCTAGCCTCTGCAGATTTAATCTTCTGTTTAAAAAAAATGGCTTAGAGTCCATCAGTAGTGCAGAGCTGAGTTTTGAGGCCATGGAAAATTCTCTTGAGGATTTTCTTTAGTTTTGTCTTATGATCATATGAGTTGCATATAGAGTGGTGTATAAGGAGTATCCCAGTGGCTTTATTATATATCACTTGGCAACCTTCCCCCTAAACTTGAATTTTTATAATGAAGGGAAAAGCAGTTGAAATCAGAAATCTACATTCTTTGATAACGTCCTTCTTTACCTTGAGTAAGTCGCTATGTCACTTTCAAAGATGAAAGGATGTAATGTAGTAACTTCTGCTGCTTCTGTCTTGTGAGGATGTCAGTGAGAAACTAGGGCAGATGAGAAAACTGTTGTTTTAAGTTGGTTACTTTGATATTTTCTTTAGACTACAAATCTTAGTTTAACATAAAATAAGTGGATGATTTGTCTGAAAAAGCTTTCTCAAACACAATTTTCAGTAGTAAGCTGTGCAGAACATAAATAACAGAAAAATACACAGCTTTACTTTGTAACATGAAGGTCTAGCCTAATATTAAGGTAGTAGAGAATAACTTTGAAACTTTCGATTATATCAAAATATATGTGATTATCTGTTGCTTCTAGGCAGTTTGCCATTAATGCCTTATTTTCTCCAGATTTGACCTGTTTTGTCATTTCAGTAAGCATTTGAAACTTATATTTTAAGATTCATTCTGCAAATTGTTTTCAATCGAATTATGGCTGCTGTGGCATGAACTGTGTGTGCTGTGCATTTAGATTTTATGGTGTCTGTGTTTTCCAAACATAAACTGGCATTAATATCTTTTGTTCACAGTCAGTTTTATCATAATCCATGATCTCGGAGGAAGTAGGATTGAGGAATTACAGGTACTCTTTGTGCCTTTTATGGCTTTTTATTTCAACCTTTTTACTGGAATTCTCAGTAAAGCAGCATTACTTGTTTTCACTTTTCCTCCCCATCCCCCCACCTTTTTGATGTGAATTTGAAAAGGAGAAATAAATGGAAATAAGGCAGTTGGAAAAAAGATGGATAAAAAAGTGGACACAATTAGTTCCAGAATCTAGGTTGGCTGTCTGTTGATAGCATTGTGCTTGATTGGTAAATGTAGTGCTTTTAGTGTGTTTTGTTGTGTTAAGCTTTTATCAGACATTTGCTACGTACCAAGTACTAGTGTAAGCACTTTATATAAATTAATTCCTCCTTGAACTATAAGGTAAGTATTATAATTTCCATTTTACAGATGAGGCAACTGAAATCACAGCTAACATGTGGCAGAACTGGGGTTCATAATCTGCATTTGGAGCCCTTGTGTTAATCACTAATAGAGCATTAGCCATTCATGCAGAGGAAAAGAAGTTGGTATTTACAGATAGAAGAGTTAGGACTCTATCCAGTAGCTTTACCCATTTTCCCAAAGCTTAAGATTGGATGTGAAAGGAGAAAATATTTACTTTATGGGTTGATATAGGATTGATGTGACTATAACATAAAAGAGGTTGCACTCATACACTGGAATTTGACACAACATTGTAGAATGGCTATAACTCAATAAAAAACTGTTAACAGAAAAGAAAAGAACAACTTTAAAAGAGGAAAAAAAGAGATTGCACTCAAATTTATAGGCATCTTTTTTTTGACATTTAGCATAATGATTAGCATGTGCCTTTCTGAAGTGAGAGGATACCAAAGAGTTGTTTGCACACAAACTTTTTACATTAAACATTGACTCATTGACTTCAGCAATCTAGTAACTATAGTGTATTAGTTACCTACTGCTATTAACAAACCACCCTAGAACTTAAAGGCTTGTAACAACAACAATCATTTACTTTACTAAAACATCTGCAGTTTGGGAAAGGACTCAGTAGACATAGTACTTCTTTGCTCTGTGGAGTGTCAGTGAGGATGGCTCTGATTGGAGGACCTGCTTTCAAGATGGCTCAGTCATCCTGGCCAGTGAGTTGGTGCTGGCTTCAGCAGGGACCTGAGCCAGGCTATTGGTTACGGTTCTTGGTTTTTTTCTTGTTTTTTTCCTTCATTTGGGCCTATCCACAAGCTGCTTGGCCTTCCTCCATGGTATAGTGACTGGATTCCAAGAATGAGCATCACCTCTTAGAAGAGTTCTTGTTTTATGATTGTTCATTGAATGGATGAAAGAGTCTCAGGTTGTTTTCTTGCTCTTGTTGGCTCTCTTGGCAAACTGCAACTATAAAGTACATGTTTCATCTCAGGGTCTGGTAATCCCTGGTTCTGAGAACTGCTAGAGGGTTTTTTTTGTTTGTTTGTTTAGCTTGGTTTGGTTTGGTTTAAATCTTGACTATTATTGATCTGTTTTTTCATCCATTCAAATTTCTGTTTCTAGTAGATTACCTGCACTTACTACTAGCCTACAGAAATCATCTATGAACCATTCAATAAACAGAGAAAAATAGCTTTTTTAAGATTTGGAGAACTCCCTGTTTTTTAGCTTCAGTTGCAATGAAAATTAACATAATTATGACTAGTTTAAGTTGTATGTGTGGCCTTGTAAAATAAAATACAGACACACACGATGTTTTATTGATAAGCCTGATTTCTAAGCCCTTGATTAATGAGTTAAAAGTGTTTAATATATCTACTGCAGTATTTGACTGATATTGATATATATATTTGCCACCAGTACTTATGCCCATCAAGAGAACATACATTGATGAAGAAAGTATTAGGGAGGGTGGAGAGAAAGAAGTAATTAGGACATTTTTACAGGCATTAAAACAATTTTTGTTAGCCTCATTTGATAGCCTGCCTGCTGGGCTTGTGAAAGGCTAATGTATTTGGCTGTTGATAAAGAGAGTAATTCCCATTTCATTTGAAATATTTCCTCATTGAAAACATCAGTTTTCAGCATCTATGATGACTCATATTCCAGTTATTATCTAAGTTTAGAATTTGTTCATATGTATGTTGTACCTATTTCTACTTTATATGTATGTATATATCATGTAATTAAAGACTTTTTAAAGCATATAAAACACTGACTTTGTTTAAAAAGTTTATAAACAAGCTACCTCTATACTTATAAAAGTTCTTTTCAAAATAGTTTTTGATATAAGTACAGGATGCTAACCTAGGAATTTGACCATGTCAGTAAGTTGTTTTGACTTGCTTCTATGCCTAGCATTTTTGGTGTGTGTATGGACCTACAGAAGGAATTCTGCCTTGCTTCAGAGCTACATGTAGTACACATGTATATGACATATTTTTATTTCAATTATTTCTTCACATTTTAAAATTTCAGCCTGTTGGAGCAGGATTCCAGGCGAATGAATCCTAGTGTGAACCCTGCAAATCAACGGAGGCATCTTCTAGGATTTTCTGCTAAAGAGGAGAAAGACACATCAGATGGTATCATCCAGAAAAACAGCTACAGGTTAGATGGAATGTCTCTGTTTGTTAAATTGATTTAATGAAACTGAAGCAGAATTATATAGTATAACTTTACATCTAAATTGTTTATACACTGTTTTAACTAATAGAGCAAATAAGTTACAAGGACATTTATACATTTTACTGTTAAGGTCTGTTCCAAGAATAAATTTGCTTTTTAAAAGCTTTCCTAATTTTAGAATTCTTATGGAGGTGGGACCTTAAACCTCAGTTTGTGTGCACTGATAATACATATTGAAACACATGCATTATTTACACATTACATGGTGTATTATGTCTTTAATATAGTCGTTTTATCTATCATATGTTTATACATATAATATGTTTAATATTTGTTACTGTATCATCTGATGGATATGATTTGGTGGAATAATATGGTTGAACCTGTTTACAGGCATTAGGTAAAATCATTTGTACATGTTTACTGTGATCTTTATTGACTCTCCTTCCCTTGTTATAATTTAATACTGTCTTGATAAGTTTCCATACAGCTTGTCAACAGTAAAAGACTTGTAACTCTATGACAGTACAGTTTCTATATGATGTTAACCAGAAGGTTATAGTGGACCTTTTCAGACCTGTATACTTTTTGATAAACATTTCCCTGTACTACTTGGAATTTTTGTCAGAGCCAAATGGAGCTAGGTCTTTGACTAACAAGGCAGAGGGAGGTTATAGTGTGGCAACCATTCTCAGAATAATGCTTGAAAACCATGAAAGATTTGTTTACTCTTAACTCTCTTAACACTTTACAGGTCAAAGGCCATAGGGGAATCATTGTTCTGATTTTTACTCTGTTACACCCAGTTTAATGAGATTATTGCCATAGTCCTTCAGGCTTGTCCCCTTTTTGTCTTCCTGAAAATAAAATGCTAGTGTAATTTTTCTAAAGGAAACTGCAGTGTACAAAGTACTATGGTAAGTGTGGTGTAGGATCCAAAGAATTATGTAGTCATAACTATAAAGCAACATAGAAGTAATAGATCAGAATGCTGGGAAACCTAGCATTTCCTGCTTTTTTTCTACATGGCAAAATCAGCCATACTTCTGAAATACTGATCTTAGTGATCATATAACGGTATCCCTGAATATTGCTAGAGTTTAATAATATTTTTAATTTTACTAAATAATTTTTCCAAGTTTGCCCTACGTGTTCTATAATTTTGAATTCTGTTGTCTACATGGGATCCATCAACAGTTACATTTTTACTAGATAGGCTTTGGATTTATAAGAGTTGAGAGTGTGCCACTTAGGAATATATAGCTTGCTGCTAAAAATAGAACAAATTATTGATAAGACACCTGAAATTACAGTTCAGAAAAGCTTTGTGAGAATGTTCTTTAGTTTGCACTAACTACAATAAATAGAAGTCTTCATTTATTTGTCCATGTTAGAGTAAGGTAACATGGTGGCTCCTGGAAAGATCACAGATCATACTACGCTAATCATAGTAATTCAGCCTAGAGATCTGAATGACTTCTAGGCTGTAATTTATCAGCTTTCAATGTACTGCATGAAATACAAGTCATCTCTCTGTCCCCCACCCCAAAGTCACCATTGCCTGTGTGTAATCTGGGTTTCTGGTCTTAGTGAAAAATGGAAATGATTATTGGTTCTTGGCTACATGCAAGTCTCTTGAAATATCAAAGATTATCATTGAGCCACTAGGAAGATTTAGGTACATGTCAGTCCATTAACTTGATGTTCTTGCTTTTATCACTGTAAATACTGAATAAAAGATTCCCCCCAAAATGTTTGTGAAACATTTGAAAGCACCAAATATGAATTTATTTTAAACTAAATTTTAGCTAGTTTATTTATACTCAGCCATGACACTTGTACTTATTTTTTAATGCAGCTTATTTTATATTTTGTTTCATTTTTGAGAAGAGTTATGAGAACTGGTTCAAATAAAAAAGCAGTAGAGTCTAATCTTGTAATTTATAATATTGCATTTGCCTATCATTTAATAATTAACTGCATATAGTATTCAGTCTTAGAAATGTACAGTATATAAATAAGATGACCAGATAATTTGTCAGTGAAACTTTTAAGAACGAAAGGTAGTGCTAGTAATAATTACCTCAGGATACCAGGCATAAATCAGGACTGTCTTGGATAAAAGGAAGAAAATAGTCACTCTACATATAAGGCATCAAGTCAGAACCTGTAGTTATTACGGGAATTCTCATTAACTCTAGCAACCTAATACTGTCCTTCACTTTAGTGGTTTATTTGTTGAGAAATTTTTCTGTTGATATGGAATGGTTTGCAAGCAGCCTAGAACTCTGACCATCTCAGGAGTCGTGTGGATCTAATTGTCTCCAGATTGTGTGTTGGCTTAGATTGTCCCTTTCCTCTTTGACTCCACCCTGTCTCTTCCCTGATATTTCTTCTATCAGATTTTTTTTTTCTTTTCCAAAGAATATTTTTGGCTGATAGAACAAAGCCAGTCAGCACAGATATGCAGAAATCATCTACTTGAGTTTATCACATGGAAATAAAATCAGAATTACATTTTCAAAAGGGGTTTTAAACTTTTCTGACGGACTACAGCATTTGTATTTCTATAAGTATGCAAACCTGTTTTTATTTTTTTATTTTTTATTTTTTTAAACATTTTTTATTGATTTATAATAATTTTATAATGTGTCAAATTCCAGTGTAGAGCACAATTTTTCAGTTATACATGAACATGTATATATTCATAGTCACATTTTTTTCTCTGTGAGCTACCATAAGATCTTGTAAGAGAAGTCCTGAATCTGGTCCTTCAAAGGCGAGACTACGTTCTTTTTTTTTTTTTTTTAAGTTTTTATACTTAATTAGTTTATTTATTTTGGTGGGGGGGAAGGTAATTATGTTTATTTAGCACTTATTTATTCTTAGAGGAGGTACTGGGGATTGAACCCATGACCTCATGCATGCTAAGTATGTGCTCCACTTGAGCTATACCCTCCCCCTGATTCTTAAAATGACACATATGTGACAGATCTTTGTTCTTGATGGGTTTGTTTGTTTGTTTGTTTGTTTATTTTAGTGTGGCAAACAGCCTTTTCTTATAAGCATTCAGAATTTACCAAGTGTAAGGCAGAGTTTTTTTTCCTTCTCCCTCAACTCTTAATTTAGGCTGATCTCCTTTTGTGTGTGCAGTCATTACCTGTGGACCACCATGTCCATTTTATTCTAAGTAACTTAATCCTAACAGGCAGAAGAAGGGATGTCAAGAATGTTTCTGGTGCAACCTGCAGGGAAGAAAGATCTGTATTCCCTAAGCTGTTTCTTTTTTTCCCTTGTGTGTAGCATACAGAGAAGTCTCTAACTTTTACCTTGAAGTTAGTTTTCCACTCTGCCAAAATTATTTTTGTCAAGAGGGCCAGTGACTTCAGTGTTGCCAGATTCAGTGGAAAACTTCTGTATTCATCTTACTTGATCTTTCTTCAACATTTGGCTGTGTAGATCACTCCTTTTTGAAGCGTTCTCCTTTTGTATTTGCTACATTTTTAGTTTCCTCTTTTTCATGGGCTTTGCTTCATCTTCCTATGCTCCTTCTCTATCCAAATATTAAGGTTGGAACCCTGAACTTTTTTGTTTTCTTTCTGCCTAGGTGACTCATTCATAATTTAGCACACAATCCATTTCTAGACATCCTGATGACTCTTGAATTTGTTTCCCATCCAGACTTCTCTTCTGGGTTTCCAGAGTCATATATCCAGTAGTTTCTTTGACTTGTCTTTTAACATTTCGAACTTAACACCTGCACAGTGGAACTCTTCTCTACAACAGGATTCTTCATTTTTATTGCTCAAGCCAGAAACCCTGATTCTTTCCTTTAAACAAGTGCTGTTGATATTCTTTCCAAATACTATCTTGAATTGGTTCATTCTTCTTCATCATCAGTGCCACCAGCTTAGTCCACAGTATCTTCAGCTCTTGCCCGGGATTGCTATCGCTCTCTCCTAACTGGTTTTCCACCTTCCCCTTTTGCCTCCATCAGAACTGTTTTTGGTACAATAGCAAGGTGCAAACACAAATTGAAATATATCACTTCTCTACTTAACACCCTTTTGTGGCTCCCTATTACGTTTAGTAATTCCTTATCATAATCTGTTCTCTGTCTTTCTAACCTCATCTTGTGCCTTCCTTACTTGCTCACAACTCTTCAGCTGTTGAGTAGTCTTCCTTAAATTCCTTGAACCCTTCTTTTTCCCACCTGCCTCTATCTACAACACTGTTCCCCCAATTTCTATAGGACTGGCTCTTCTTATCCTGACTTAAATACTATTTCCTTCTCAGATCATTTTATCTAAAGTAGACATTGCCATTGGTTTTATATTTCAACCATATGTTTGTTTCTTTCATAGCTCTTACCACAACTTGTATTTATTTTATGTGTTTGTTTTCTTGTATTTGGTCCATTTTCCCCATTAAGGTCTTTGAGGATAGAGACTTCATTTCTCTTGTTTTCTGTTGGAATACCAGCACCTAGCACATTTCTTGGCACATGGTTGATATTCAGTAAATATTTGTTGAATGAATTAAGAAAAGTGCAAACCTGGCCATGTCCAATTTTATGTTTGTAGTTTTTCTGTTTGGATTTTAATATATCCAGTTTTCTAAATCCAGAGTATCATATATAAAGAAATTCACGACAGATCTAAGATTTCTTGGCAAGAAAGCAGTTCTTAGCAAGAAAGTTAAAATAGCAGACTGAAGAGAATAAATGGCAATAATGCCTCAGATCAAATTCTAATTTTCAACTCAGATTTTGCTCCCTATATCACACCCTGGATATGAATTCATATGATCTAGATTGCTGTGATGGTTAGGAAAGCATATTTTTTGAAGCACATGGAATGACTGGTTAATGTCACTCTGGTGTTTTGTTAATGATTCCTCCATGATTCTAAAATTTATATTTAGGTTTTTTTTAACTTAAAATTTTTTTTTTTAATTTTGTGGTGGGTAGGTAATTAGGTTTTTATTTATTTATTTATTTATTTTAGTGGAGGTACTGGGGATTGAACCCAGGACCTCATGCATGCTGAGCACATACTCTATCACTGAACTATACCCTCCCCCCTACATTTAGCTATTCAGTGCGTTTACTTTTCTCCTGCCAAGTATTTTATGCTTTTCCCTTCCCCCTAACGACACACACTGTTTTAAGGAGACTGTTCAATTCTGTTATCACAAAATTGGGGATGACCACAAAACTTTAATCCTGGTTATCTAGTACTTGCCTGTCAATCAGTGGGTCTTTCCCCCCTTACTATGTCACCTCTTTTCCAGCAATACTGTGTATGCCTTTAGCTCATTGAAGACATGAACCATGTGTTATCACTGTATCCCTAGTTTCTGGTACATAACCATTGCTCAGTAAATGGGAACTACCATGTTAATCTCGGAAAATTGGAAAATGACATTTGTACTATATGGTCTATACTTCCCTCCTTTTCCATTACATTGGCTTCTAACTTACAGTATGTTCTATTTACTGTATTTTTATCTCCGTGTAAACTGAATATGAATACTGGTGGTGATTTTCTTTATAGCAGACTTCTTCTTAGGAACTTAAGATACAAGATGATGCATTTTTTTGCATGTATGTTTCAGATATGATCATTCTGTTTCAAATGACAAAGCCCTGATGGTGCTAACTGAAGAACCACTACTTTATATTCCTCCACCTCCTTGTCAGCCCCTGATTAACACAACAGAATCTCTCAGGTGAGTTTTATAGATTGTTGCAGGTATATCTCAGTGGGTTCCTGTGTTTAGCTTTGGAACCTGGAAAAGTATTTGTTCAGATTAACCAAGTGGCTGAGAAAATCTCTGAATTATTTATTGGATAAGCATAAGCACATCAGTTGTTGTCTGCTTTCCCCACCAACCTGATAGAGATGGTGATGGATCTGTTTCATATGGTGGTACTGGGGTTGTATATGTAAACATGTCCTATTTGAAAACTACAGAATGATATTAGTATAAAAATCTAGGGTAAGTGTTAGACATGCAGGTAGTAACATTCATAGTGGAAGGTACCTTTTTCTTCAAATGGGAAGATAATAATTTGAAGATTTGTGATTCTGGAGTCACTTTTGCATTAGTGTACCTTTCTTTATCTACTTTTCCCTTGAATTTTTTCCTGTGATTTTGAATCCTATCCTTGAACCTCAAAAACTGCTTCAGTTTTGGGGTTTTTTTGGTGATACATAGTAATCAACTATAGTTAAGTAAATATAGTCACAACTATTCTAAAAAATAAGCAAAATAAAGGGAAGTTATATTTGAGCTAGGCTTTTTTTTTTTTTAATTCCAGTGTTGGAAAATCTGGATTGAAATTTCTCTCTTTCTCTTTTCCTCCTCCCAAAAGAGCATGATTTTCAAAGGTTTTAATGCCTCCATCTGTTGTTAGGAGTCTTATGACTTGTTTCGTGTTCTCCAGTGTCTCCAGTATTTGTGTGTACATAGTCCAAGAGCAGAAACAGGAAATACATTTTTGTGGAAAAATCTTTGCATCCAGTATTTATGTTTGGCAGGTATTTAGCTATGATTTTCTTTGAATTTTGAACTCATGATTGATGAGGTACTGTATAAAAATGCATGTCTTATTAAAAACAACATTATCTTAGCTTTCTCAAATTAAAAAGCAGTTTGAATCATTAGGCACTTGGAATGCTTTTTGGAACGTAAGAATATGATTAAATTCATTTCCAGCCATGGTTGAGATATCTTTTCTATGAAATACGTTTAATTAATTAAGCTGTTTTATAGGTTAAATCATGAACTTCGAGGGTGGGTTCATAGACATGAAGTGGAAAGGACCAAGTCGAGAAGAATGACGAATAATCAAGAGAAAACCCGAATTCTTCAGGTTTGTTTCTACTGTCTTTGAGCAATAGTTAGCATATTTGTTAGAAGACTTCCCCCAGATGGATTGCTCTCTTCCCTGGGAGATTTGGGAAGCTTGAACTTTGGCCACTTCCTGCTGCCTCCTGCTGCTTCTGATTTCGCTTCACCGCCACTGAAGCCCTCCTCCCAGATTTCACAGCATCATTTAGGTTTTACAGCAGTAGTATTTCCTGCTCAGGCATAGTGCTGTTTCCTGCTGTCTCCCTCACACTTACTTTCAAGCCCAGGGGTTCCTGTGCATGGACATCTGTATCAAATGTTTTTGGCACAAGTGATATAATAAATGATACTGTTTATCTCCTTTGTTCTTAGAGCTTTTCAAACATAGGACAGCTTGGAAGTGAAGGCACGTCTTCATGGAGAGCATTTTTGTACTTAGACATGTAGCACTATAGGTTAATGACAACTCTTATTTAGAGCCTATTTAGTTGAGCTTCTGTCTTTAATGTTGTCTACCACAAAGCACCATTTACTGTCTTTCTGTTGTTCAAATATTTATTACTACTTCTGAAGCACCTGGACCCACACATTGCAAGCTCCCAACATATGCTACCTGTGGTAGTAATAATGAGCCAGGTACTGTTCTAGACCCTGGGAATATAGTAGTGAGTATGGTAAAGTCCCTGCCTTTGTGGAACTAACATTCTGGTAGGTGAGATGAACAATAAACAAGTAAAGTGAAATAAGTCAGACAGAAAAAGACGAATACCGTATGACTTCATTTACATGTGGAATCTTAAAAAAACCCCAAGCTTCCAGTACAGAGGACAGATTGGTGGTTGCCAGAGGTGGCAGGTGAAGGGTATAAAGTTCCAGTTATAAAATAGAAAAATCATGGGGATGTCATTTATAGCGTGGTAACCATAGTTAATAATACTGTAGTGTATATTTGAAAGTTGCTAAGAGAGTAGATCTTTAAAGTTCTCATCACAAGGGAAAAATTAAATTAAAAAATAAACAAGTAAATAAGTATTTAAACATACTAAAAATTAGAAGTTCTCTGAAGAAAAATCAGGGTTGGAGGTTAGGGTTTGAATTGAGAGATGAGTGGCTGTTTTAGATTGTAGTTAGAGAAGCCTTCTCTAAAGAAATTCCACTTGAGAAAGATATTATCAGGTACTTAATGCTAGCTACTTAACTAGCCTCAAAATCTCAGTAGCTTAATGGACTAAACATTTGTTTCTCACCCACTCACAGTCTGAAATAGCTCTCTAGATTGCCTTTCCTCTAAACAGTGACTGAGGAATCCAGGTTCTTCCAGACTGTGGCCCCAACAACTTGAAATCCTTTGCTTCTAGCTTTGAGTATTGGGGAGGAAAGAGTCTGGAAAATTATGCAAAATGTTTTAGGGATCAGGCCTGGTCTTTAGTCCCTATTGCAGTCTCCCTTGCTGTGGGTGAGGTAAATGTAGAACATTGCTTTTGCTATTGGCAGAAAATGAAGGAGTAAACAATATAAAGATCTAGGAGAAAATTTGGAGAAAGATCTTCCAGAGCAAGGGAATACCCTCAGGAGGAAACAGTTTGCGTATTTGAGGAACACCAAGAAGTTGAATAAAACTGGATAGCAGTGACTAAGGGGAGAGGAGCCAGAGATGATGTCAGAGAGACAGAGAAGGCTAAATCACATCAAATCTCTTAGGCAATGGTGAGACCTTTGGTTTTCATCTCATGTGTGAGAGGATAGCATTGAGAGGTTTGAGGTGTGTGACTTGATCTGATTTATATTTTTAAGAGATCACTCTAACTGCAACACAGAGTAGGCCATAGCAGGGAACTTGAGTGGAAGTAGGGAGACCAGTTAAGCCATTTCACTAGTCTAGGCAAGAGATCACCGTGGCCCAGACTAGTGTGGTAGATGTGAAGGTGGAGGAAAGTACCTGAATGCCAAACGTAGTTTAAAAGTATAGTTGATAGAAATTGCTCTTGTAAAAGAACAAGGAATCAATGATAAATCTTATGCTATCGCTACCAGGCAAATAGTGTTGCCACTGACTGAGACTGGGGAAAGATAAGTTGGAGGCAGGAAACAAGAGTTTTAGATACAGTAAGTTTGAAACGGCTATTAGACATTCCAATGGAGAAGTCAAGTAGGCAGTCAGATATCCAGGTCTGAAGTTTAGGGAAGAGGTTGAGATTGGACATTTCATTTGGAATGATATCACCTAGAGAGAAAGTAGAAAGGAAGGAAGAGAATTAAGGAACTGAGTCCTGGAACAACTCCTGCATTAGAGGCTATAAGACAGGGAAGATCAACACTTGAGAAGGAAGAGGAGTGGCTGGCCAGTAGAATGGGAGAAAATGTAGAATAGTTGTGTCCAAAAACCCAAGCAAAGGAAGTTTCTAAAGAAGAGAATGTGATTTACTATAATTATTTACTCTAATAAAATAATGAGGGTTAGTCTCAATGAGCTCATGCTCTGACATTCTGAGATTCTACGATTATCCAGTATGTGTTTTTCTGGGTCTCTCTGACACCATTTGTTTACTTATTATGGCAACTTTATTGGTTGTTAGTACTTCTGGAGGCTACTGGCATCATTACTAATGTCGCAGTTACCTCAGAGTCCCAAAGCTGCTTACTGGCATTGGAATACAATGCCCAGTACTGCAAAAACTCATGTCTGCCAAAACCTACATGTTAGCTGCTACCATGGCCAGAGGAAAAATGGACTCTGTCTCCCTTCTGCTTTCCAAATCTGGTGCAGGTGTATATTATTGGTAGAACCTAAATTTCTTTTTTTCTTCTCATTTTATCAGTGCTCTTTTTATTTTGTTTAATATGTTTATTGAACACCCACTATGTGAGATCTATGTTAGATTTTCATATAATAAGATTCTTGTTACAGAGCCAGAAATTGGAAGCCCTCTATTCATTGGTTGCATCTATCACCAAACAAAATTGTTCCTTCTTATTTTTCCCTTAACGCTTTGTATATTCTTCTGTTTTAGCATCACACTATATGGTTTCCACATATCTGTCTTCCCTGTTAAACTTGAAATTTCTTGAGGACAGAAGTTAAATATTAAATTTTATAGTCCCAGTGCATGTAATAGGCAGTCTATGAAAGTTTCATTGGTGAGGGATGGATGGATAGATGGATACAATAAGGAACAAATGCTAATAATCTTATGATTAAACAATTACTTAAGTCACCATTTGACAAGGTAATAATAAGGTCACTTCCTAACATAATAACTGGTAATGTGCCCTTAAACTCTGATATGCTTACAAAAGTTTTCTGAAGATCAGCTTACAAAGCTGCTAGGGACTATAAGAAGGCATAGTGGAAAGCAGATGCTTTATGGAAGACAGGATTCCAGTGTAGTATGTATAGACCGCTGATGGTTCCAGATCTGGCCAGGAGCCATTGGTGAGGACTCTTTAATGATGAATTAGTCCACAGGTATATTTAGGCACAAAGATCTTTGTGTTTAACTCAGTAAACAATAGGGTCTGGTTTCACTGTGAACCTTTCAATCTTCAGGAAATTTTCATTGAGAAATTAGTTATTTTAGACAAACATAAGTTGTTATGTGTTCAGCAATACTTGGTCAAAGAACTTATGATGCTTGGACTAAGTTTTTGCGCTGTTTCTTTAATCTTTGTGGGAAGTGCCTTAAAATGTCTTACTGTCCGTAAGACACATCTCTCAGCCCAGAATATGACCAAAAGAGTTCCAGTTTCTATGTTGTTGTTTAGTTATGTAAACCTAATATGTCAGAATATTCATGAAAAAAAAACTTTATGAATACTTTAATGAAAGTTTTGTAAATGTAAATGTAGGATGAATCAATTTAGAAAACTCTTCATATAATTTCATAATATGACATTAAACCATTTTTTTTCTTCCAGGGTGCTCTGGGACAGGGCTCAAATTCTCAGCTCATGGCCGTCCAATACACAGAAACCACTAGTATCAGGTAAGAAAGTGTGGAAACTCATGACTAAGGAATTTTAAGTATCTAGTACTTCAGTAAAGTTGAAATGCACACTTCCCTCCATTTAAAACTAGTTCTCGTCACTATCCTGTAGAGATAGATAATTCAAATGTATGTAGTAACTCTGTAACCAGAATATTTCATTCATTTACTGTATGTATATTTAAAAATGGATATTAAAAATACTATTTTTGACACATCCTTGTGATGGCATATTATTTCTTCATTAGTTAAAAATGTTTTAATCTCTGTACCTTTCTCTCAAGCTTGCTGTAAACCTGAAACTGCTATTTAAAAAGTCTTTTTAAAAATGTTCTAAATAAGTTAAGTTTATCTTGTTTATTCATGTATTCTGTATTTAAGAATCCACCTCCTTGCGGAAATTTGTACCCCCAAAATCAGTACTCAAAGTGCTTTCATGGTCATTTGCATTCCCAGCTGAAATTTAACAAAGCAGTACTCTGCCTTCTGTTTCAGCTCTCATACTGTAAAAAAATTGTCCTTTTTGAGATCTGTTTAGTGCCATATCTTTCACATTTTGTGCTTTTGCTTGTGAATTCTTTGTTTAAAACGGCTCCCATGCATAGTACTAAAGTGCTGCCCTAATGCTCGCAAGAGTGCAAGAAAGCTGTATTGTGCCATGTGGAGAAAATGCACATTAGATGAGCTTCATTCAGGCATGATTTACAGTGCTGTTGACTGTGAGTTCAGTGTTAATGAATGAACAGTATATATTAAAGAAGATATCTTTAAATAGAAACACATAAAACAAGGTTATATGTTGATTCGTTGACAAAAATGTTGTAACTTGGGGCTCACAGAAACCTACCCTTTTTTTCCCTTAGGAGGATGGTTTAGGATTTGCTAATTCATTGTTCGCACTGACTTCGTAGAACATCGGCCACCATAAATAATAAAAATTGCCTTATTATTCAAAATATTATGGTCAGAAATGGCCTATTGAGTACATGAAATTATTTTAAAGGAAGTTCTTGTGACTCACGTATGATTTCCTCTTAGGTCAATCTTCCCCTCCTCTTAAGTTAATACAGTTTGATTGAAGACATAAAAGAAGAATATATAAGAAAGAAATACATATGTTTTCTTTTTGAAGAAAAATGAAACATTATTTCTTTAACTCTCCTTTAACTTTTGGATGTTGGCTTATTGTGCTAAACAGTAAAAAAAAAAAACCTAGAAAATATCATTAAGAGCTATATTAATATCATTTGAGTGTATCTTTTGGGATATGATGGGGTTTGAGGTACTATAGTTTTAGTTACAATTTTATCAAGGCACTGACATGGTACTTTTAGTATCTATGGCTAGCACTTGTTGAGTGACTCCTATGGAACAGGACCCATGCTTGGTAGTAACATTTCTGACCCTCGTAATAGTACTATAAGGTTTATATGGTTATCTTCATTTTACTGGTGAGGAAACTGAGGTAGCTCAGAGATTGATTCCCCCAAGAATACCTACTTGAGGAGTGGAGTGGGAATTCAGAGCCAGGTCTATTTGCTTCCAAATCCTAAGCTTTTTTCACCTTTCAGTTAGCCTCGTAGGCAAACACGCCTTCACAGATTTGACAGAATGGTGAAAAGTAACTTTTCTTCAGACTTAATTTTTGTTACCAAAATTTTAAAATCACGCGAACCAATGCAGAAATCTATTTTCTGATACTTTTATTGTTTTTATATGCTTGACTGTCTGGTACACTTGAGAGCCTTGATACAGAAATGAAAGTTCTAGGTTTAGTGAATTGGATCTTACAGACATCCTGACCTTGAGCTTTTCAGAATGTTATTATAAAAATTACTGCCAAGATACTGCTAATATTTTGATTGAGAGAGATTCTTACAATTCAGATGTCACCTTAGAATGGGAACATTTTTGAGAGGATAGAAATTTATTAGTTTAAGTACACTTTGCCATTTTCTTACTTCAGCAGGAACTCAGGGAGTGAGCTACAGGTGTATTATGCTTCACCCAGAAGTTATCAAGACCTCTTTGAAGCCATCCACAGAAGGGGAGACACATTTTATGTCGTGTCGTTTCGAAGGGTAAGTTCATTTTCAAAGAATAAAGGAAGTATTTTTGAAAGCCTGCTGTATACAAGGCGCTGGGCTGAATACTGTGGAAGAAAAAAAGATAGAGATAGGAAGCAATATAAAATAAACTATGTGAGTAAAACAGTCTAAGTGCTATAATACATACTTGACTTTGAGCTGTTCAGCACTATGGAGAGGTAACATGGAATTGATGTCAGGCGATATTTAGAAAATATAAACTGCTTATAGGTTTTTATTCTTTTCCATCTTGATAGCCATACTGTTTGTTTAAAACTAAAGGAGAAGCGCAAAGATAAAAATTTCTTTTCAGGCATTGTGGTGATATTCTCATTTGGTTATTGAAAAGTAGACTTCCCAAATTTTGGTTTAATATGAATCATGGACTGATTAATATATTAATTATGGAATGTTTGGATCTAAGTTCCTCAGCCTCTCTAGTCTTCTTTCTCTTCCCTTTATCAAGCATTTACTCCTGTTAGTGAAGAATGTGTTAGATAATCAGTCAGCTTATGCAGAAGGAAATGTTTATATGAGCACTTTTGAGTGTTATAAATGTTAGACTTACTGGGGGAAAATGCTTAGCTTATTTACATTCCATCTACTTTTCCTCTAAAATGAAAATATAGTCTCCATAGAGTTGCCATATGAATATTTCTGTTGGAGTGCTGTATGTTAGTTAAACCAGGAGCCCATGAATGAGTTAGAATTCCTTTGTGGTCTATATCCTAGGTTTTTCTTTTTCTTTTTCTTAAAAGAATGTGGAGGGGGCATAATTAGAAATAAGCATATACTAACTAATAAATGATTCAATCTCTGATTATTGTCATCCCTCACTATCACTGCTGAAATTCTCAGTTAACTTAGTTCTTTTCCTAACGTGTTAATATCTAGCAGCTCAGAATTTTGGACCAGAGAACTTTACACTTGAAGATTAGGGGAATCAAACATTTCATGTATTTTTAGTTATTAATCAAATATGCTAGGAGATTTGGAAGACTTTAGTGATTTAGAAATCTCATGATTTCTGCCTTTTCACAAAAATTCCCTGTGCTCAGCCTGTTCTCACAGACATAATTGTCATATTTCTATACTGCACCAGCCTCAAAGTTCATTTTCAGCAGCAAGGGGGCAGCTGAGGACAGGGTTTCGTTTTGGCAAGGCTCCAACTGTGTTGACTGATGAGAACTAAATATTAACTTTGTGTTGACACAGTCACATTTAAAATATAGGGGAAAACAAACTTCTAAATATGAGATCTAGCACCACGAAGAGATTTGATGGATGTTAAAGTGAATGTGTTGAAGTATATGTTATGGAAGTTATCACAAAAGCATATTTTTAACACTCAAATAGCCAAATACTTTTTCTTAGGTTTGGGATAATTTCTCTATTATTTGATAAAAACAGTACAATATTTATTAAAAGTAGCCATTGTCAAGCCACGGATTGATGTGACTAGTAACATTTTTCTATGGAAGAGAAAAAGTATTTGTTACAAAGAAAATAATCCTAACCTTAAAAGAACTGTATTTTTATAAAGGAAGATGGATGGTATTTTTTTTAATATGTGCATTACATTTCTTGCATTTGTAAAAGCTATTTCTCATTAGTTTGCTGTAAAAGGTGCTACTAGAGAATTATTTATCACTGCGCCATCCCCTAATCCTTTGATGTTCCAGAAGAGACAGTCTTATGTTTAAAAAAACTGTTAGGACTATCTCTTACATTCTGTTTGAGGTTTTCAGTTCCTAATTAATGATTTATCATATCTTAGTGTTTTATATGAAGGTGAGGTAAGGATAAACCTGAACTTAATTAGATAACAGTAGTTAGGGAGAGAGAGACAGTATTCTTTTTCACTTTTTCTTTCTTACTTTCTTTCATTTTAGCAGTAGGGATAAAGAAGTTAATTTTACCATCATGACTATAAACTATGTCACTGGACAGGAATTTGATTCTTAAACAGTGGATTGTTCTTTTTGTTTTTGCTCAAATGCAAATGAAAGAAGTAAATGATCTCATGTCTTGGTTCTCTTTTCCATTTTTCAGTATAAAATATTCTAACAGTTTCATCAAAAAGGCTGGTGGCATCATTTCTTGTGCAGAAGGATGTAGACTTTTTCTCCTACTTAGGTTCTTAATTTCATTGACAGAAATCATTTTAATTAATGCTGTGCGATTGCATTAGAAATTAAGGGATACAGGAATTCTGATGCCCTAAAGTTTTGCTTAGGATAAACCAGATTAACAGAGCCAATAAACAAGCCATGCTGTTTTATTTTATAATTGGACAGGTGTTAAACAAAATATTTAATACCTAAAAAAAAATGTGGCCATTGACCGTTTAGTATACCATTATTTAATAAACCAGCTCTCTCCCAAACTTAAACTCCCTCATACCCCACACTCCTGCACCCTTTAATCTCATTACAGTTGAGCTGCTGAAATGATTTCTCCAAAGCAGACTCAGTCTTGGGTAACTACTGAGTTCCTGTTATAGGTCAGCAAGAAAGAATGCTTATGATCCCAGTAGTCCCCACAGAGCTTCCAGCCTTTCCGGTTCTTTTGACTTAAGTTTCTGCCTCCAACATAGAAACTTCCTTTACTTTCTTTGTTTTGTTCCAGGTATTCATAACTCGTTTTCTTACAAGTATTTTGTCTTTTTCTCCTCTCTTTGACTTGTTTTAGTGTGATTTGGAGGGGAGTTGGGGGTAGGTGGTGGGAAATAACTTTTTCTCAAACTTTAATATTTGAGTGTGGTATAACTGATATAAAAATAAGAAATCCAACTAGATTTAATGTTTATTTTTTCTTACACTTTCATACGATAGTGTAGGGAGGGAGGAAGTAGTTTAAAGAATATTAGAAAATGAATTCAAGAGTGTGGGACAGGTATAAATAATCAGGAAAACTCAAGTAAAGTAGGATGAGAAAGTGATTCCAAAGAGAGGGGAAGGGGGAGAAAAGATAACATTGAGAAGAAAGGTAGGAAAATGATGCTTACTTTAACTATAACTCCAATAAACATTGAAATACTATCCTTAGATTCTGCTTTCTGATCCATTAACAAGCAGAGGAAGGCATTTTTTATCTTCCCAGGGCAATTTCCCATTAAGGACAGGTTCTCTTTGATTCAGATGGCTGTGAATGTCGTGTCACCATATACTCTTCAATCTTGTTTGATATGTCTTTTTTAAATGAGATGGATGCCTACTTTCGGAGCACTTTTTGTTTCCTTTATATTTTTCATGTTCAGTACCTGTCCTTCAGATCAACAGATTTTTAAGATTGTCTTTTCATCTGTTTCAGATACATACCTAATGTAGCTCTGTGCTGGCCTCAGAGATGTTTTTTTCCTCTTCTCTTCCTGAGTACTTTATGTGTTCTAGACATGATACAATATTTAGGTATTTCACATCTTCTTGGTCTCTTATAAAAAAAAACTTAGAACAGTATCATATGTATGGATTTTAAGGATAACTTTAAGCCATATGGCCTTATTGTAAGATACATGGGATTTGAAGAGGCACAAGAAACTGGTCCAGGAGCTAAGTAGTCCCTCTGTGCTTGTTCTTCACAGACTGGAGTGGACACTAGTCCTCACGGAGAATTGGAATAGTGGCTTGTTGTCATTCCTGATTCAACAGCCGCTCCAGTAATTCCACTGAAGTCTTTTTCACACATTGCTCATTCAGATTCCCCAAACAGAAAGAGGGTCTGATTGTTCTCTGTGTGTGTGTGTGTGTGTTTACTATATCTTATGTAGAATTGCTGTGACAGCCTTGGCTTATGATCCATGATCCATGATCCATTCATTTGTGACCAGGGTTGGATTCCAGGACAGGGGAATAGGGTTGATTTCATTAAGTGTATTATCTTGCTTTGTAAGCCAGCAACTTAAGGCAGAAGGAATGGCTTGGGGCCCCTCTTCTGAGGAAATGATTTTGGTACATCCTTAGAGCTTCATAAACTGTTTATTATGTTACACAGCCCTGCTTTTAAAAAAATTCTTCCTTGTATTGGTCCCTAATTGTTTGATCTTAAAGGCTTGTCTTCTCATCTATATCATAAGCCTCTTAAAGGCAAGAAGTGTCATATGCTTTTTAATTACCACTCCTGACACTCAACACAACGCCAGCCACTCAGTGCTTATAAAACAGAACAATTTTAGGTATGGTTCACTGAGAGAAGTCACAGTGATGGAAGTTCATTGTTTTTTGGAATCATATGAAGGGTATTTTTACATCTGTTTTCTTAAAGAAATTTGCATCTATTTTACTGACATAAGCAGTGCTGAATTCCCCGGAAAGTTCAGTTAGAGATGACCCTTCTTCTGTTCCCTTATGGCTGTACTAGCCAGAGATATGTCAGCTTTGTTCTTGTCTCTGAGTCTAAGCTTTTAAGCTAAAGAAATCACCTTGGTGAAATGTTTGACAATCAGTAGGTAGAACTTTGAGGTACACATATCCACATTTTTTTTTATATATTTGGTGGAAACATTTTGGAGTTGATTGTTAGACCTCACTGCTTTCTTTTGTGGAGAAGAGACAGTATCTGGTATCTCTACAGATTCAGTCAGCATAAGTCAGAAACTTGAAATTTTGTACTATATATAAAATAAACAAGCAACAACTTTCTTCTGAATAGCATATGGAACTATATTCAATATCTTGTAGTAACCTATAATGAAAAAGAATATGAAAAAGAATATATGTATGTATATGTATGACTGAAACATTATGCTGTACACCAGAAATTGACACAACATTATAAACTGATTATACTACAATTAAAAAAAAAACTTGAAACTTTGGACAAAGAACAGAAAAGACTATAATTAGTGAAGAATGGTTGACTGGTGATGTTATTGGTTCAAAATGTTTACCTAAAGTTTATTCCCATGGAAGGCCATAAATAGAATTCCACAGAATAGTAATGATGTTTTCTAAATTAATGCCTAAATTAATACCTGATACATGCTTAGAAGAATG